GTGTTGCATGCATGTGTGGTGTGTGTGCACACGCTTGTGTGTGTCCTTGTGTATGTTTGCACGTGTGTGTGCCAGTGTGCGTGTGTGTGCCTATGTGTGTGGTGTGTGTGTGCCTGTGTGTGTGAGTGTGTATGTGCATGTGCGCGCCTGTGTGTGCGCATTTGCAGGACATAGAGATGTGCCGGCGGAGGAGGAGTCAAGAGAACTGAGGTTGCCTCTTCCTCTACTTCTTCCAAGGGAATGAGATACCTGCACCATCGCGGTGTGGCCCACGGGAGGCTTAAGTCTCGGAACTGCGTGGTGGACGGGAGGTTCGTGCTCAAGGTGACAGATCATGGCCACGGGCGACTGCTGGAAGCGCAAAGGGTGTTGCCTGAGCCTCCCAGTGCGGAGGGTAGGAGTCCCCAGCTGCCTAGAGCACTGGAGCATCCCTAGGATCCGCATAGTTGCAAGTGCTTTTCCCTCCATCCCCTCCTTGCACTGTTCACCTTCCAGATCTGCTAACGCTAAACAGCTGCAGAAAAAGGTCTGTGGCTGGGGATGTGGAGTTTGCTAGGGAGAGCCTGAGCTCTGGGGATGCGTTTTTTTTTTTTTCCTGAAAGGCTGTGAATCTCAAATAGTCTCTGCTCTGAGATATTTGAGAGGGTTAATTAGTACCAGTGAGAATGAGAGTCTGGACCTCAAAGCCACCGCAGCCTCTCTCGCAGCCATGCCCCTCTCTCTCGCTCCTAGATCAGCTCTGGACAGCCCCAGAGCTGCTTCGGGACCCTGCCCTGGAGCGACGGGGAACACTAGCTGGCGATGTCTTTAGCCTGGGCATCATCATGCAGGAGGTCGTGTGCCGCAGCACCCCCTATGCCATGCTGGAGCTAACACCCGAGGGTAAGGTGCCTTGGGGCTGGGTAGGCACCCTGCACTTAAAGCAGCCAGGCCAGACCCAGCGTGGCTCTTTAATAAGGTGAAGCCCTTTTCTTAAAGCTGGGGTCTGAAGACAGCAGTGGGACCGCCAAGCTTGAGGCGGGTGTTCCAGGGCACAGATCTTAGCAGCTTCTGTCCTGCCCCTGAACCCACCCTGCTCTTCCATCATACAGACAGGCTCCTCTCTGATTCTCAGAGATCCTAGGAAAGCCGAGGATGAGAAACAGAGGGGTCTGAGGATCCAAATCCAAACCATGCATCATCTGTAGGATTCTCACCCCAACCCTTACTTGTCTTATGCTTAAAAATGTTAGTTTGAATCCATCACCTCCTACTGACACTCAGATTTCAGGGCCCTCTGGTTACTCCTAGAGATGCCCATCTACATCACACTCCCCCACCAACTAAAGCATTTATTTACTTACTTATTGGTGTGTAGTGTATGTGTGTGACCATGTGTGCAGACAGTTGTGTGTGTGAGCAAATGCAGACCAAAGGTCAATGTCAGGTGTCTTCCTCGGTCATTCTCTTCTTTGTTCTTTGAGATAGAGTCTCTCAGTGAACCTAGAACTCACCAGTTAGCTATACTGGGCAGCCAGCAAGCTCTGGGAAGCCGCTGTGTCTGCCTTCCTAGCGCTGGGGTTACAGGTGTACTCCACTCTGCCTGGTGTTTTAAAAGTTACCTGAATGTGGCTGCCGGAGACCCAAGCTGAGGTCTTCTGGCTTGCATGCCAGGCACTTACTTGTAGTTTTTGCTGGCTTGTTGCTGCTGCCTGTGTGCAGTCCCTGTTTCTCTGGGGGGAGGGGAGGAGAGAAGACGAGAAGTCAGCGGCACAGACTCCGGGAGATTGCCATACAGAAGCTCTTTATTGTAAACAGGTTGGGGTTTTATGGAGTTAGGAAAATGAAGCTGCCACAGGAACGGTTCTGGTTGGGCCTTTGAAAACTGGCACTGGCAGTCACTGCTGGCGTGTTGCAATCAGCTAGCAGCGCATGTTATTAGTGACTGTGCTTTTCCATTGACAGGCTGTCTTGGCCAATTGTGCTCACTCACTGTGAGTTTGCATGCACTTGCTTGTGCTTGCGCCATTGCCCTGCCTCACTGACTGACTGAGCCACCTCCTAAGGCTTGGAAGTGTTAATTTAAAAAAAAAAAATCCTATCCAGGAGGGCAGTAGTGGCACACGATTTTAATCCTAGCACTGGGGAGGTGATCTCTGTGAGTTCAAGGCCAGCCTGGTCTACAGAGTGAATTCCAGGACAACCAAAGCTACACAGAAAAAACTTGTCTCGATAAAAGAACCAAACAAACAGACAGACAAACAGTCCTCTCCAACTGGGAAGAAGCTCAGTTGGCAAAGTACTTGCCTTGTGTGCACAAAGTCCTGAGCTCAGTATCTTATAAACTGAGTATGGTGGTACAAGCCTCTGGTCCTCAGCTACATAGTCAGCTGGAGACCAGCGTGGAATTATGAGTGCCCCCATCTTGGGCTAGAGTCAGAGGTAGGTTTTCTCTGGGGTCACCCACTTCTCACAGTTTCTTCTTGCCTCTAGAGGTGATACAGAGGGTGCAGAACCCTCCTCCACTCTGTCGGCCCTTGGTGTCAATGGACCAGGCACCCATGGAGTGCATCCAACTGATGGCACAGTGCTGGGCAGAGCAGCCGGAGCTTCGACCCTCCATGGACCACACCTTTGACCTGGTCAGGAGCTGGGACTGGGAGGGGACTGGGCTGGACCCTGGGATCCCAGATGGACAAGCAGGCTGGCAGGAGCTTTGATCTTTTAGGTTCTCTCCTAAGGGTTAACCTAAGGACTACAAATTTGGTAGGAACGGTTTAGAAAGCAGTCGAGGGCTTGTGGTGGCCTTTGGAATGGGAAAAAGAACTCTGGGTGGGAGAAATACTTAATTCAAATCAATAACATTGAATAAAAGTCAGATTATGTGCATTGTTTATTGAGACAGGAAAACCCTTAGCCTGAGTTCAGAGCAACTCTCTGAGGGAACCCTCGTTTTCCACATACCTGCTAGTAATATCTGCAAATGCAGGAGTGGGCAGGATCTCAGGTGTATAGCCTCAAGAGAGTACAGGAGAGGGCCATGGCAGCCAAAGTCTTACTAGCTTTCTCCTCTCCTAGTTCAAGAGCATCAACAAGGGCCGGAAGATGAACATCATTGACTCTATGCTTCGGATGCTGGAGCAATACTCCAGTAACCTGGAGGACCTGATTCGAGAGCGCACAGAGGAGTTAGAACAGGAGAAGCAGAAGACAGACAGGCTGCTCACACAGATGCTGCCTCCGTGGGTGCCCATGTGGAGTGTGGGGAGAGGGTGGAAGATGGGGGCAGCCTTCAGGTGACCCTGCTCCTTGCCATTCCTAGATCTGTGGCTGAGGCCCTGAAGATGGGGACACCTGTGGAACCTGAGTACTTTGAAGAGGTGACACTATACTTCAGCGATATTGTGGGCTTCACCACCATTTCGGCTATGAGTGAGCCCATTGAGGTGGTAGACCTGCTTAATGACCTCTACACTCTCTTCGATGCCATCATTGGTGCGCACGATGTCTATAAGGTGGCGTGGCAAAGTTTTGTTTTCTATGTACACCTGCGTGGCTTAGAACTTGCTGTTTAGACCAGGCTAGCTTCAGACTTGTAGCAATTCTCCTGCCTCTGCCTCCCGAGTGCTGGTTTTAAGGCATATGCCAGCATTGCCTTGCTCTGACTTTCAGTTTAAATGAAGCAGTTCCACTTACCTCCGGACACCAGCTAGTTTTCCTCAGCCCTCCCGTCATGAATCTCTTCCTTCAGGTTCCAGTGCAACTCCAAGCTCGGAGCGTGACTTTCCAGGATATCTGCCCTAACCCCTTTAGATCATCAGACATGTGACACTGGTTTAAGTATTAGGGGAGGGGTGCTCAGAACTGAGCAGACACAACCCCTTCCCCCAGGTGGAAACAATTGGAGATGCCTATATGGTGGCCTCCGGACTGCCGCAAAGGAACGGACAGCGGCATGCTGCAGAGATCGCCAACATGTCGCTAGACATCCTCAGCGCGGTAGGCTCTTTCCGCATGCGCCATATGCCTGAGGTACCAGTGCGCATTCGCATTGGTCTGCACTCAGGTAAATACTCAGCCCCTCCCAGCTTCTGGGTGCCAGATTTCAGTGGTAGAAGGCAACACTTGGTGGGGGTGGGCTGGGGAGGGGGCTTGCCTTGAAGTAAATACACAAGTGTGTCTTTTATTGGGGGAGCTAATAGAGAGTGTGGGTGCTAAGGTCTCTCCAGGCCCTTTGTGAAGCCTAGCTGCAGGGCACCGCCAGCTTTGACCCAGTCTCTGCCTGCCCGCCCTCTGACCTGGCATATCTCCCCAGGCCCATGTGTGGCTGGTGTGGTGGGTCTCACTATGCCTCGGTACTGCCTGTTTGGGGACACAGTCAACACAGCCTCACGAATGGAGTCCACCGGACTGCGTGAGTGTAACAGACCAGAGGAACTGGGGGAAGTGGAGAGAGCCTGGGCAGGGGAAATGGCCCAGGATGGGAACATGGGAGGTGAATTCTGAGATCATGGTGTCTCCTCACTGCCTCAGCTTACCGCATCCACGTGAACATGAGCACTGTTCGGATTCTCTGTGCTCTGGACCAGGGCTTCCAGATGGAGTGTCGGGGCCGCACAGAGCTGAAGGTGCGTGGCCCACACTCTGCTGCTTTGTAGGGGTACCTACAGATGTAGGGTCTCCCCGTTTCACCTAGACCTAAAGATTCTCCATCCCTCACCCTGATCTGCCTAAGGCCCCTCTCTTTTGTGTTTTCCCAGGGCAAGGGTGCTGAGGACACGTACTGGCTTGTGGGCAGACTGGGTTTCAACAAGCCCATCCCCAAACCACCGGATCTGCAGCCAGGGTGAGTGATTGACTGGTTAACTTGAACCTGCTGGGCGACAGCTGGAGAGATGGCGACTCAGTGGCGCCAGCCAATGGGCCCTTTATGCCTTTGCCCTCTCTTCCTGCCTCCCACACCAAGTCTGGTCCTCATCCCAAGCAGCAATAGCAAGTCCTGACATCCCTCACCCCTACTTCTCTTTGTTGAGGGTGCAGTCTCCTCCCTGCAGGGCCAGCAATCATGGCATCAGCCTGCAGGAGATTCCTCCAGAGAGGCGCAGGAAACTAGAGAAAGCCAGACCAGGCCAGTTCACTGGGAAGTGAAGCTCCCCGGAGACAGGTACTGTGTCTTTCCTCATCCTCAGAGGCCACTCACTTCTGGGGGAGTGGTGGGGTGTACTTTTTAGGGGTCAGGTCAAGACTAGGTAGCTGCCTGCAGGGTGTCCCAGCCAAGCCAAGTGTCCCTATTCCTCTCTGATTTAGGGGGCAGAAAAGGGATTTACCCCAGAGGAAGCATCAACGTTAGGCACACTGGTTTGGTGGGTCTGGAGTAATGCAAGAATCTAGATTTAGGAATTTTTACTCAGACCCACCCCTTCCCCTGAACGTAAACCAGGCTTCCCGGAGAGGCCCCTCAGGCTGTATACTACACCATATCAGAATTTTGGGGACAGCATTTGCCAGAGGTCAGTATGCAGTTGGATTTGCAGATCTGTCAGATCGAAAGGTCTCTCCATGGTCTTCATGCAGGACTCTCTAGGCCCTGGTCCTCCTTATGTGCGTTTTTCTCCCTCCCTGACACAGCTGCTTCCCTCGGGATTATTCTGCACAGCCCTTCCCGAAGTTGCTGCTGTACATCGGACTGATGCCTGACATCAGCTTTTATGTTGGCTTCTGTCCAGTTCCGCCTGCAAGGGTTCTGAGCCCGGAGTCTGCTGCAAACCAGCCATGTGACCTTGGGAAGATCTGAAGTGCTCTCCAGACCCCCCTCAGGGATAGAATGAGGGGGGCTAAATGGTTTCTACCACCATGTGGCCCTTACAGTGAGGCTCTAGAGTGGCTGGCCTTGGGATTCAGGACACTGTAGCGTACGGCCCCCAGCTCCAAGGACCCTGAGCTCATTGGGGGTTGCAGAAGTGGAAGCTGCTCCACTCTCTAGGTCCTGGGAGACCCCAGAAGTAAGGATCTGGGATCAGAAACCCCTGGGGACCTAGAGGCCTCATGTTCTACCAGGGGAGGGGTCACCATGTGGCCTGGAAAGACCAGGGCTTCTTTAGCCTTCATCCTATCCCCTCTCCATCACCCACTGGTCAGAGACAGGCTCCTTCTCCAATAGGCAGAAGCAAATCACTTGCCCAAGTGCAGAGAAAACTTGTTTTGATGCTTCTGGGGAGGAAAAACAGCTGCACCCAAACTTTGCTAACCAGAATGACAGATGAATAGTTTATTATCTGTTCAGGTGTTGGTGAATTGATAATCGAAAAAAAAATCATTTCTCCTGAGATCTTTGCCACAAACATTCACACCTAGTCCTGGCAAAACCCCAGCTGAAGTTTCCTTTGTAGAACCCTGCGGTGCCAGTGCCGGGGCTTTGGAATGTTTGACTCTTGCTGTCTTTGTCACTGGCACAGATTCTGGAGGATTTGGCAGCAGACGCCCAGTAGGTAGTGAGTGCCCAGGACCTGGTGATGTGCAAGCTCTGTGTGCATGCATGCGTGCATGCACTTTCAGTGCTGGCACTGGACAGGCAGAGGCAGATGGATCTCTGAGAATTTGAAGGCAGCTCAGTATACATAATAAGCTCCAGGCTAGCCAGAACTGCCAGTAAGAACCTGTCTCAATAACACAACTATGTATAGTTATATATGGAATATATAAGCTAGGGCTACCGAGATAGCTCAGTAGTTAAGAGCACTTGTTGATCTTCCAGAGGATCCAGGTTGGATTTCCAAGACCCACAGAAAGACTAATAAAGGTCTGTAACTACAATTCTAGGGGATTTGACACCCTCTTCTGGCCTCTGCAGGAACTGGTAATGTATGTATGCCAGACACACATGCAGGCAAAACACCCACACACATAAAA